TCATGGAACGTCGAATGGAAAACATGAAAAACCGCCCTGTGGGCTCCGAGACCAAAATTACTGATGTGAAGGATTTCGGGTCGTCGAACGAGGGGGGCGCCCCTCGGCGCGCGCGCGTGGCGGCGCGCTCCTTTTCTGGCTCGATCTCAAACAGCTGTCAAGGTAGAGCAATGAAGGCAGCGGGAGAGGCAACTGTAAGATGAGGCGGAGAGGAGCAAATTTACTACCATGCGCGGTGGCATCTAAAAATCGCGTCGGCTGCACGCGCGGCAAGCCTGCTGCTGCACGCGGAGGCCCCGGACGGTAAAAGTGCACATTGCTACGAGCAACAACCGCGCACGCTCGCGGGGAAGAAGAGGAGGACGAGGAGAAAGTGGGTGGGGACGGAAGAGGGACAGGAAGAGAAAACGAGGGATACATACATTGAGAAACAGGTCCCAGGCTGCAGATCTGACCAATTGACCCCAGCCCCCCATCAGCCAAGAGCGCGGGTCGCGAGCAGAGAAGAAAGATAAAGATAGCGATGGAGACACATAGAAAGAGAAATGGGCAAGGTGCGCATGGGAGCGAGCGGCGAAGCACACGGGGTCAGCGCCTCGCCTCTTAGCCATGGCGCCCCGCAGCCCGCGGCCAAGCTGGCGGAGCATCTCGCGCCACCGAGACTGCGAGTCGCGAGCCGGGATGCATCAACGACGCTGCTGCGCGCGCTCCAGTCACAAGCGAGACAGTCGTAAGTTATTTGCGGTTTTCCTACTCGCCGAGTTAAACGCCCCCGTCGAAGACGACCCCGCAGGGCAGACATCTGACTCAGCCAAAAACCAACCACCCGTGCAACCGTTGATGACATGCACGCGCGGCCACCAGTTAGAAGAAGTACCGAGGGCCCAACTCTGCGGAGGAACCACTCTCCATCAGCGTAACTGCTACACATCAGCAGCTTCGCGTCGCCAAAGGTGGCGAAGTTTTTGAACGGGAGCGCCATAATTGGATACCGATCGCCGCCCTTCTTGGCGCTGCAACGCAGCGCGGCGACAGGCAATGCCTGGTCGACAGATCGACAAACTCGCGCCGCCTGCCAAGGGGGCGGCGGGGGGCGGCCACGGGCGCCCACGCCCACGACGAAAGAACGGTTGCAACGCGGCGACAAGGGGAGACGCATGTCCCATTCTGGCGATCGGCGGTGCTCCACATACAGAAAATCAGAGAGACTCAGAAAAGCAAGCCCCGGCGACCCGCGCAGTCGCAGGGCCTTCGAACCTCGCGGAAGCGGCGAAGCTGACGGGCAAGGCAACGCAGCCACACATGAGAGACTGCCGAAGACCTCGCGCAACTACAGCAAACGAGCGACTAGAAAGAATGCCGAGACAACTACGGAAGGGGCTTTTCCGGCCGAGGCGATCTCTGGCAACGAATTAGAAGAGCCTCGATCTAGCTGTAAGGAACGGCCCGAAAATCAAAACCCCTCCTGGGTCCTCATTTCAGCGTCTCGACTGCGCCCGCTGCGTCGGCCGCGCTCGCGCGCATCCAGCATCGCCCGGGGGGCGGGGCCGGCGAGCAAGTGAGGGGGGGCGTGGCGCGCGGGAGCAAGGGCGGGCGTCAACGGGCAGGGGCCGCAGCGTCTTGCGCGACCCCCCCCGCTTCGACCCCGCCCCACCCCCCGCCCCCCAAGCCCTGGCTCACGAAGCGGGGCAGGCGAGGAGGGAGGAGCGGCGAGGGCGAGCGGGGAGACCACGGAAAGCAGAATGAGAAGGGCGGGGGTGACATCGACGACGACGAAAGCGGCGGCAATGGTCTCGACCAACTTGCCGACGCCCTCACCATTGGGCTTGGGCGAAGACCGAATCAATGGCCCCAGCGCGGCAAGGGTTTCCGCGCGTTCTCGGAGGCGCCGTGCGTACACCAGTGGGCGCGTTCACTGCCCCCGCACTGCTGCAATTCAGGTGCAGCGCGGCGTAACCGTCAGGGATGACGCAAATCGCGCTGGGCTTCATGCGGCAGGCGAAACCAACGTCGGAGACGAGCTCCATAATCGACCCGAGGCTGAGCACGCCGATCAGTTCGGCCATCACTCTCGACGACACTGCTGCAAGGGCGCCCGAACGGACGTCGGCAACGGCCGCCTCGCCCTCGGGTTTCAGGTGGGCATCGACGAGGTCGTAGACGGTCGAATGGCCAACGTAGAATGCGCCCTCTTTGAGAAACTTGAACTGTGGGCGGAAGAAGCCGGCGACGCCCCCATCGCCGTGAGCCTTCGGTGCTTCGCACAGGAACTTGCACCCAAACTTCAGCAAACATCCCTCGATTCCTATCTTTTTGGTGGCGACCACTTTCGCCACCGCGGCGGCTGCGCAGTCCACCGAAGACTTCTCCATGGCTTGCTCCACCCAGCCTCTCTGGTTATCGTTGTAATCCTACCTGCGGAAGCGCCCGCCGCAGCCGCAGCGCGGCCCCCAGCGGCAAATCAAGCTTTAGAAGTATACTTGCGGGGGCCGGCCACGACCCAGCTGACGTTCGCGGGGTTCTGGAACTTGCGCTGACTCTTGGCCCCCTTGAAGCCATGGCCAAGTGCGGCTGGCTCTGCGCCTGGGAGGGCCAAGGCTGCATGGCAGGCGCCACGCGCGGGGGCGCCACCGACACCCGACCCCATCACCGCGGAACGCACGCACCTCGAGGACCGCCCAATGGCCACGCCCGCACCCCGCACCTGTCCACGAAGGGCGAACAAAAACTCGGGGGGCAAGGGGAAAAGAAAGAGATGGGACATGGGCAGACGGAGGCGGGGAGCGGGAAGAAGTCGCCAGGGAGAGGGGGGGGGGGCCAATGAGGCGGGGCCGCGAACCGAAGGCGGGAGGAAGGCAGGATGGGCGGGGGACAACGGCGCCACAAAAAGGCCGCCTGAACACGGCCCGTTCCGAAACTCAGCGACCTCATGAAAATTCCCCCCTCTTCCCAATCCTCGGCGCGCCCCGCCTCCGCCCGGCGGATTCCCGGCCCCCGCCCCCCTTCATCCGCCGTGGGCAACTTGGGTCGGGCGCGGGCGGCCAGCGCCCCCATCTGGGAGCGTCGCTCTGGTCGCCTTCGCTTCGCCTCGGGCGCGGCCTCCCCGAGCGCCTTCCAGCCCTCCACCGCGAACTGGCGGCGCCCTTCGCGCCCCTCTGCTCGCTGCTATCGGACAAGACCTCTCGCTCTATTCCGCGCACTCCGTGAGCTTGCCAAACGACGCGTCAGCGGTGTGATCCCCCGAAGCAGACTCCACCCACTTGCTGGTCATCTCGACCACCGGCTCGCGTATCTCTAGGACTGATTGCTTCGCCTTCTTGGCGTTACCTCGGGGTTGGCGTCGAACTCCTGCGGATTATTCTCGTCGTCGCCCATCTTCACCCCAGCGGCCCATGCATCCGCCTCGTCGACGCCCTCCTCAATATTCCGCGACGCGTCCTCCAGGGCCGCATGGAACATGCTGGTCTGGCCCTTCGCGTTGACCTGCTCCACGACCGTCGCGCGACTCTTCGCGCCACCTGCCGCCGAGCCCCCTTCGCCTGCTGATCCGCAGCAGCCGCCTCGCCCTGCAGCACAAAGTCATGTTCGATCCTGCCCATAAACACCTGCTTCTGCGCGACCCCCCTCGCCGCAGCCTGCGACCCAGCCGACGCGCCCGGCATCGGATTGCCCTGCGTGGCCACGTCGCCGTCGCACTCCTGCACGGGGCCTGCCGCGATGGGGCTCGAGGGGGCTGAGGTGGCGCCCGCGAGCCGGATCTCGCGGAACCACTGGGGCTGCTCTTGCATGAGAACCTCGGTCTGATCGAGGTCGCAACAGCACAAAAAAAAGCAGGGCGATGGCCCATAACTGCCGAAGCGGCATAACAGCGCCACACTGCGCCGAAACAACCTGCGCCCCATCAGGCCGACTACAGTCGGCAGCAGGGGGCAACGGGCGACGAATGCGAAAGGGCGAGCAGGACGGAAGAGAGCAGGGGGCTGCCTGGACGTCGGGCGCCCACGCATCAAGCATCACTCATTGCAAAGACTCCAGCCCTCGCGCTGCACACAAGAGCCCTCGACTGAGCATCGTTGAAACGACCCAAATCCCCGCGGGAGCGGCCGTGGGAAGCGCCGCTGGCCGACTTGCACCCCTCCAAAAGGACACAGGCCGCTTCCTTCGGGCTTCGAAAGGTACATCCCCAACTGGGACGTTGAATAGCGGGGGCCTGGGCGCGAATAGGGAGCGGGCAAAACGATGCTGATCGGCTTCCGCGCGAAGCCCCCCGGGCCCTCCCCTGGGCTCAGCGCCGCCCCCGATTCGGACGAGCTCTGAGCGCCAGCGGCAGCTGCCAGCCATCGCCGCGGCGCCGAGAGGGAGAGAAAAGGACGGGAAGAGAGAGAGAGAGAGAGAGAGAGAGAGAGAGAGAAAGAGAGAGAGAGAGAGAGAATAGAGAGAATAGAGAGAATAGAGAGAATAGAGAATAGAGAGAGAGGGGGAGAGACAGAAAGAGAGGGAGAAGGAAGGAGAGAAAGAGAGAGAGAGAGAGAGAGAGAGAGAACAAAACAAAAAAGACAGAGAGAATGAGAGAGAGAGAGAGAGAGAGAGAGATTCCGTAGCCAGTTTGGCTCAAGGCCACGAGGTGCCCGACGACCGCGAGTCCGTCGCGGGCGCCCCCTGAGCGCGAGGGCCCTCGCGCTTTGGGCGCGGAACGACACAGCACTGTGCAGCTGCCTGGCTGCGGCGCGTGCCCCCCTTTCTCCTGCTGGCATTGCTCGGGGCGCTCTCTCTTTCTCTCTCTCTCTCTCTCTCTCTCTCTCTCTCTCTTTCTCTCTTTCTGTCTCTCTCTCTCTCTCTCTCTCTCTCTCTCTCTCTCTCTCTCTCTCTCTCTCTCTCTCTCTCTCTCTTTCTCTCTCTCAGGGGGCGGCAGCAATGGCGGGCGGCGGCAGCGGGGGGGCGCGCGGCGGCGGCGGCAGCGGCGAGCCTGGAGGCGGCAGTGGCGGGGTGGCCCGCAGCCCATGGGCTCGGGAGCAGCGGCGCGAGCGAGTGGGAAGCCCCCCTGGCGCTGCAAGTCACGCAGCGCGCCTGAAGCCAAGGGCTTCAGGAAGCTCAACTTCGGGGACCGCTCGCAGCGCAAGTGGCGAAACTGCCCGAAGTCGTCGCACTTCGGGGGCAAGCCGACGGAGAGCGCGCCCTCCAAGTCGATAGAGAATATCAAGCTGGCGAAGGCGTTGGAGAAGCTCGAGCAGCTCAAGGCGATGGCTGCAGGCCAGAAGGCGCCCGGCACTGGCCAGGCCGCGTGCGAGAAGCCCCCCGAGGCGCGAGGGGTCGGCTGGCGCCGTCGAGCGCCAAAGCCTTGACCTGGTCGGCAAGAAGCTGCATAGCCTCCAGAGCATGGCTGACGTGTTCGACGAGGAGGATGCTGAGCTCCGCGAGTCCTGAGCGTCCAGGAAGGCCGAGCTGGAGAAGGAGCCGGCGCAGCTGCGCACGGCCATCTTCCAGAGGACGCGCAGCTCAAGAGCATCGCGGACCAGACCAGGAAGATCGAGAAGCAGAACGGAAAGGATCGCGGCGAGCTCACCAAGATTAAGGTGCAGAAGGACGAGCTGGAGGCCAAGGCGGAGGCCCTGCGGCAGGCCACCAGCGAGCGCGACCTCAAGCTTGCGGAGTTCAAGGCTGAGCATGTGCGCACGGTGGGCATGGTGCCATATCCCCCTGGCGAGCCTGGTGCTGGTCTGGGCGGCCTCGTCGAGTTGGACGGCCCCCGGATCAGCACGTAGTTTTTGGATAAGGTGCTGGGCGGCTTCGAGGTCGACGAGGCGCTGCAGCGGTTCATCAACGCGCATGCCATCAGGTACGAGCAGCAACGCAGGGACGCCCGTGCTGCCGAGGCGGAGGCAGCGGCGGCTGCCACTCGCGCCCAGGCGGCGGGTGCCGCTGAGGCAGGCCGCGTCGCCGCAGTGCCAGGCGAAAGTCGGGGCCCTGTCCCTGGCGAAGGGGCCCCAACGGGGGGCGACGCCATGGGCGACGAGGAGCTGGAGTGCGACAACCAGCACGACTTCCTCAAGAAGGCGGGCCAGGCGCCAGCCCCGCCCGAGGGCTCTGAGCGCCCTGATGACGATGCCGCGCGTGCCGTCTTCAAGCGCTACTGGGACGCCATCGGTGCGACGCCGCCCAAGCGGCAGCGGGAGGCCTGAGGGCAGCGCCAATGCCATGGCGACGACTTTCGAGGACGGGGACGCCTACTACAGCGAGGTGTATGAGGCAAAGGAGCAGGCATCCCGCGAGCTGAGTGTGGCCTCGCCCACTGGGGCTCTGCGTACCAGGGCCGGGGAGGCCCCGCAGGCGCAGACCACCACGCCGGCTGCCTTTCGTCGGCGACGCGGTCGGCAGCTTGGACAGGCGCTGGGCGGTCAGTCGACGCAGCGCGGGCAGGCTGCGCTGGCGCGGGGCAAGGCGGGGTCGGCACCTCTTCCTCAGCAGCGGGGCGGTTGGGCGGAGGGCCAGACCCAGGGCGGGCTGGTCGGGGTCTTCGGCCACCAAGGGTACGGCCTCAGAATGTCAGTCTCGGCTGGCCTGGAAGAATCTTCCGAGGGGAAGCCATGGGCGTCGGCCCCAGGGCACGGCCCTGAGGGAGAGGCGGAGGGATTCAGCCCCTCGAAGTCGCAGCCTCTCCCTCACATGCAGAAGCCGTTCGACACCTCCCAGGGCGGGAACGAACAGGCGGGCATCGTGCACGTTGCTCGGGAAGGCCTGGAAGCGCACCCTGTAAACTGTCCAGCGCGCCCTGCGAGGAGCTCGAGCCCCCCGCTCGCTCCGCCCCCCCCGCCGCGGGATGGCGCTGCCCTCCCGCGGGCCCCGGGCCAGCCAGCTCCCCTAGCTGCGCAGCCGCCGCTGGTCGCGCCCGCTCGCCGCCAGAGGAAGACGTGCACCTCTGGTCTCACCACGATCAATGCGACGTCCTGGGGGTGCACCGGCACGCGGCCGACGGCGAGTCGACACTGGCCATCGGGGCCCAGGAGCATCACCGACTAGCCAGAGACTTGGCGGCGCAGCAGCGGGCCTCCAGGGACGCGGTCTGGCACGGGGTTTGGAGCGCCGCCGCTCCTTCGCCCACGTCGGCTGCGGGCTCGGTGGGAAGGGTGGCCGCCCTGGCCCCCGCGTCGGCCTGGGCCACGGCCCTCCCTGGGCGCAGTTTCTCTGAGATCGTGCCAGGCAGGCCGGTGGCGGGCCGTGTCCGCGCGGGCCCGCGGGCGGGAATCGTAATTCTGAGCGTCTATCTTCACGTTGGAGAGGGCCTCTCAGGCAGCAACATCGGCATCGTCTGGCAGCTGTCAAAGTACCTGGGGCAGCTGGAGACCGAAGGTTACCACTGGGACGTATTGGGGGACTGGAACATGGAGCCGCAGGTGCTGGACTTCGGCTGGATCACGCAGCTTCGAGCGGCGGTGAAGGTGGCGGAATGGCCGCCCTGCAGACAAGGCAGTGGCTCGCGCATCGACTACTTCGCCGTCTGACCCAGTCGGAGGCCCAGCTGCACTTGGGGGCCAGCACCTGGCCGCACTGGCCTGTGCACCTTCCCAGCAATGATACGCAGGTGGTTGCTTGGCAAAGGGTCCTCAACGAGCCGAAGCCTGCCCCGAAGGAAGCGGCGCTCCCTGGCTGCGGCTGTGCGCCGTGGAGGTGGGGAGGCGCCAGGAGGAACATTGCTGCGGCCCAGGACGACGCAGGCCTGTAATGCATCTGGGACATGCTCCCCGAGGGCATCGAGTCGGAGATCCTGGGCCGCAGGGGCATCGTCGGGGAGGACCGTCAGCGGGCCGCAGGAAGGGGCACCGAGGGCGAGGTCAAGACCGTCTGGCACAGGGTCACCTGGCAGCCACCGCGCAAGCGGCATGCGCGGCCCCCCGGTGCCCAGGCTTGGGCAGCAGCGGCGGGGTGGGCCAGGCACTTGGTTGGGCTGCGCGAAAGCATTGCGCAGGTCCTGCACCTGCTCAACATCGAACCCGTGGGCAAGCTCAGCCACCCGTGCGCGATGCGGGAGAAGTGGCTGGCCTCGGGGGGGGGCTGCGCTGGTCGAAATGCATCGCCTCTTGGCGCGCGCCCAGGGCCACGCCCGCTGGGCCCACCTGCCCGACTGGAGAAGGGCGCCTTGCCTGAGGGGGGAGATGTCTTTTTGGGAGAGCGCCGGGACAGGGGCCTCAAGCGGGTCATCGCCGAGGCCCAACTGCAGGAGAAGCTCGACGCCCAGGCAGCCCAGGGGCGCTGGAAGGGCTGGATCGACCAGGCCCTTGCAGGAGGAGCGGGCGCAGCGCACGTCGCCTCCAAGGCCCCTGCGCTCTAGGAGGTGGCCCAGGCCAGCGATGGGCACGACCGCGACGCGCCGGTGGAACGTGAGCTGCGACCCTGAGAGACCATCTCGAACTTCCACGGCCACAAGAAGATGGCCCTGCCCTCCGACGCGGGCGACTAAGATCAGCCCCCGCCACTCGCTCACCACGCCGTGCGGGGCGTGATCCGCTCGATCCCACGGCGCACGGGGGTGGGGTAATCGGGCATCCCGCCCGGGGCGCTCGAGGACATCTCGTAACAAGCTGTGGGTGCGATGATCGCGGTCTTCCACAAGTGCGAGGAGCTGCCGCAGTGGCCCGGCAGCCGCCTCATCAACACCACGGCTTGACATCCAAAGCCAGACGGAAGCAGTCGTCTCGCTGGGCCCATGCCAACGCTGGTCCGAGCGCGGAGTCGCGCGCGCCGCCCAGTCACCAAGGCGCGGGCGCAGGCGAACCCCGCTACACTGGCGTGGGGGGTGGGGCCTGGGCGCTCCAGCTCGGACTCGGCGCGCGATCTCAACCTGGCCAAGGAGCAGGCGCAGCTGGCAGGCTGGGACCCAGCGGAGGCAGCCCGGGACCTTTGGAAGGCCTACGAGATGGTGGCGCCCGAGGCCAAGCTGCAGGAGGCCGGCGCATTGCGATCCCCGCTGCGCCTCGCGTGGATGCCCCTGCCCACGCACCGCCAGCCCCGCGTGCTGGCCGCCTTCAATGCGATGTTGCGGGCTGCGGACACGCCAACTCACTCCTGCTGGTGCTCGCACTGCGCGCGCTGCAGAGGGCCAGCGCCATTGCGCCCACGGCGCAGCCGCGCAGTCTGGTGGACGACGTCACGCTAGCGTGGGCGGGGCCGCGCGCGGGCCACAGCGAGGACCTGCCCAAGGCGCCGGCCAGCTTCGCTGCCAGCATGGCGGACCTCAAGCTGATCATGCAGCCGTCGAAGTCAGGCTTCCCGGCGTCCTCGAGGAAGGGGGGCCAAGCTGCTGGCACCCGCGATGCGGCGGCAGGGGCTTAAGGAGGAGCTTGGGTTCGCAACCTGGGGCGCGAGCTCCACGGGCGCAGGGCGCTTCGCACGCAGGGGAAGAGGCGCCCGGCAGCCTTGCTGGAGCGGCAGCGGCGCCTGGCCATGCTAAAGAGGGCGGCGGCGAGACGCGCGGCCGCCGGCCCAGCTGCGCACACTGGCGGCCGAAACAGCAGGGGCCCAAGCCGGCTGCGGCACGGCCGCCGTCACGCTGCTGCAGAAGCGCGTCGACTACGACCCCATCTACATGGCCACCATCCCTCTGGTGATGCGCCTGGCGAGCCGCATCTGGGATGGCAGCGGCTCGCTTGCGGCCCTCTCGGCCGGCTGGGACCGCCTGGCGGCTTTGGCCAGAACGAAAAACCGCACCTGGGCCACAGCGCACGGCCCCCTGGCGGCGACTTGGCCTTCCCTCGGGCGCATCGGCTGGAGCATGGCGTCGGCGCGGGTGACCAAGGCGGACACGAGCGACCCCTACCCCCTGCTGCACACGGCGCCGAGGGGCATCAAGGACGCGCTGGTCGAAGGCATCCAGCGCTGGCAGTGCCGCCGAGTGGCTGGGCGCCTCCCCGAAGGAGACGGAGAGCTCCTCTGGCCACGCACTGCAAGGGCCATTGTCCTTCGTGAAGGCGCTGCCGTTGAGTAGGGCGCGCTCCAGGCTCTCTGGCCAGGAGGCCACTGCACCAATGAGTGGAGGTGCAAGCATGGGTTCACGGACTCGACCCAGTGCCAGGCGCACGGCGAGCTGTGCGACACGCCGATGCATCGCTGGCGCGTCTGCCCCGAACTTATGGCGCCACGAGACGACGAGTAGGAGCAAGAGGAGCCCCACCGCAAGCCGTTGGAGTCGATCCACAAGCAGATGCGCGAGGCGGAGCAACTCTGGACGGTGGGCGACAGCTACCTGCCCCTGTCGCACGGCCTGCCGTTGCTGCCTGCGCCGCCGCCAGCTGCGCCGACTGGTCACTCCGTCATCGGCTGGGTCGCGGTGCAGACCCCCTGGCCGTCGGCGGTGCACGCGGACGGCTCGGGCCACGCCTCCAAGGCCCCTGAGGCCCGCAGGTGCGGGTGGGCGGCGGGGGCGATCAGGCCCGACGGCTTCCCGCCCAAGGCTGCCCGCGGACCACTGCCAGGGGCGCGGCAAACAACGGGGCGGGCAGAGCGCTTTGCCTGCCTGGCGCCCCTGGAGCAACCTGGCAACGTCGGCCTCATCGTCAGCGACCCGCAGTCCCTCGTGACGGAGGGCAACCACTTATACCCCACGGCAGAGCCAGCTAGGGCCGGCATCTGGAGGCAGCTGCCGGCGGCGGCGGACGCACGCGGCAGGGCCCCGCCGAGGTTCAGGCGGGCCCCCGCCCACCGCGCGCTGGAGCAGGCGCTCGAGGAGGGCGTCGGGCCGCTAGATTGGCTCGGGAACTGCCGGGCGGATTCCTTCGCCAACTTGGGCGCGGCCGAGGTCAAGCCCCCCGAAAGCGCAGCCGAGACCGCGCCATCCGCGCGGAGCTCCAGCGGGCGCTCGACACGGCCAACTACGCGGGCCAGGCAGCGGCCAGGATTTGCCAACTGGACTTGTGGAGGCCGCTAGACGACGACGGCCTGTTCAGGCGCCGAGTCGACCCGAAGCTCTTTCCAGGCCCGCAACTCAGCCCGACGCGCCACGAGTACCAGACGGCGGGCGTCTCGGGCGCCCAGTGCATCAATTGCGGGAGAGAGGCTTACACCGCAATGGCTCGGCCCCTGCTCGACTGCAAGCCGTGCCAGCAAACGCGCCTGGGCCAGATGCGCGCGGCCAGGAGCCAGCTGATGGCGGGGGCCCGGGCACAGGTCGGCTCTGAGGCCGTCAACCTGAGCCTGCAGCTGGCAGCCCAAGTCGAAGCGGAAGTTGCTGCCGAGGGGTGGCCCCCCAGGGCCGCGCCGAGGCCACGCCGAGCGAGGGCCGGGCAGGCAGGAACGTGCAGGCGCGACCGCATGGGGACAGGCCCGCGGGCAATGCTACACCCGCCGAGAAGGTACAGTACCAACTGAGAGCTGCCACTGGGCGAGCTAAGGTAGAAGCTGCTGTTCAGCATGGAACGCAAGTCCCAGCCCCCAGGTGCACCCGCGAGGTAAACAGCGCGAGGGGCTGGGCTCAGTCGCCAGAGTTCTCGCTGGAGCCTGCGCCCTGGGGCACCCACGAGGTAAACAGCGTGCGGGGCAGGCCCGCCTCGACGGGGGCGCCTGGTGGAGGCGCTGACGCTGCTCGAAATTATACAGCTGGTTCTGCAGTGGAGGCCGTGTACTTCCAACTGGAACAAGAGGATGAGGACCTATTCGGCGACATGCTCGATGACCTGCAGTACACTCCCCCAGCGGCACGGGCGAAGGCGGGGCAGTCACACGCGGCGCCCGCGGGCCCTCCGAGCGCCACGGGCCTCACCTGCGAAGCCGCCGTCGGCGCGAGGAGCGGAGAGCGGGCCGTTGCTGGAAGGGCAGCGCGGGCAGGGCTGCGCGCGGCAGGAGGGCTCCCGCCAAGGCCACGGGAGGCAGGCAACGACATGTTCGCCCTTCAGGCGTGGGAGCAAGCGGGCCCGCTGGAGGACGTTTTGGCGCAGCTGGCGTCCTGGTGGATCACAGACCTGCGCGACCAGAGCGAGGCCTACGCGCGCTGGCTTCAGGAATGCGTCGACTACGTGCACAGGCTGCTGGGCGAGCCCAGGTTCAGCGTTTTTTTGTCAAATACGTCAGCGCGGACAGGCTGGGCGCGGAGAAACAGAGGCGGGCAAAGGAGTACTGCGAGCGGGGCTGTCATGATGGTGCTCCCTTCCGGGAGGCACACGTCGATCAGGCCCTGCAACTTGAGGGCGAAGCGTTCCGAGCCCGAGCACACCAACTCCGCGGGTACTTGGCGGCGAGCAGGGCTTTCCTCTGCGACCGCGGCAACGCCCGGCACGTTGGAGCGCGAGGCCACCGCCTGTACCCCACCGCCTACGACTCGCCCGAATCGGAGGCTGAGGAGGAGGACTGGATCGACCTCGGCGACGACGACCAAGAGCTCATCAGGAACATGAGCGGGCAGGGCGTGGCGGCCATGAGCGGGCATGGGGGACAGGGGGACCTGCGAAGTAGTAGACGGGGCAACCAGCGGAGTCGGTCCCGCACGCCACCGCCTCGCCGCGCTGGACAGACC